TCTAAATATAACATAATCAATACTGGATTAGAAAATTAGACAATGGGTTATTCTTTTAAACTATGTTAGTTGTCTTTGCAAATGATCACCAATAAAGTAAACAATATAACCATTGTCTTAAATCCTATTTAACTTGTATTCAAAACTTCAAAATGTTTATTTATGCCAAGCTCAAAAAGCAAACTATGATGTATTTTATTCCTAAAAATGTGGCAAAATATTTAGAATATATTATAACACACAATATATTCCAAAAGAAAAATAACCCCCTAAGCTTTGGCACACAATAAAATAAATGGAATTAAGGTAAATTCAATGGTTTTATTTTGGAGTTATAATTCTGGACACTGGCTCTGAAAAAAATGAGCTATCATTTTAATTATCTTAAAGAAAACGTTAAACTTCCCCTCTGCTTGTGCATTATTCACGTATTGCTGCATAAAAAGTTACCACAAAACGTGGCAGCTTCAAGCATTTATTACCTCATAGTTTCTGTGAGTCAGAAATCTGGAAGCAACTGATGGATTCTGGCTCATAGTCCCCATGAAGTTGCAGTCAAGATATCAGCAGTGGCTGCAGTTATCTGAAGGCTGGAAGACTTGCTTCCAGGATGGTTTACTTCACAAGGTTGTTGCTAGAAGGCCCTAGTTCCTTGATGGTTGTTGGCAGAAGACCTCACTTAGTTCCCCACATGGATCTCTTCATAGATCTACTCATATGTTCTCTCACATAGCAGCTGGCTTCTCCCAAAGTGATCCAAAAGACAGCGCAAGATAGAATCCACAAATTTTCTTATGACTTATCCTCAGAAGTCATATTCCATTTTCATCATATTCTAATTGCTAGAAATGAGTCACTAATTTCAGTCTCAAGGAGAAGGGAATTAGATTCCAGTGAAGAGAGGAGTATAAAATAATTTGTTTTCACATTTTATTTATTTATTTATTTTTTCTGGAATTACAGGCACGTGCTATCACGCCCAGCTGATTTTTTGATTTATTGTAGAGATGAGGTCTCGCTGCCCAGGCGGGTCTCGAAACCGCGGGCTCAGGCAATCCACTCATCTCAGCCTCCCAAAGGCGCGGGATTACAGGCTGAGCCACCAAGCCCGGCTAGTTTTCACATTTTAAAACTACCATAGTTAACTGCTCTTTGAACACAAATTATTTATGTTTTTCTTATATGCAAACTGTACTCATCCCTTCCCAAGCCTCACCAAAATTCCCATTCCTTTACAGCAACAACTTCAAATCTAGGATGCTGTCATCTAAATAGGTTCACATGCAGATGAAAGTTCTTGATGTAGTTTCTTAAGTGCAGCTCCTTGAATATATATAGTTCCCCTCAACCTAAAGACCAACGAACTAAAAAGACAAATAATCTACCCCACATACCCAAAATACAATGGTACGAAGGACAGAGGATAATTACTATAAGACTTGTTCAAAAGTGGAGAAAATGAGAACAACATGGTCAATCAGTCTACATCAATTCTGAAGCCAACCTGGGAACATCAGAAGTTCCTAGAGTAGAAATAAGGCTGTGGGAATAAGTTTTCAAAGCTCTTGGCTCTGTCCTTTGAGATCTTGGTTATAATTTCTGAGCCATCTTTCCACTTTCATGAAAGCTGGGCCAAGTCTACATCTGCAGTGTTTTCAACCTGCTTCTTGCCAGTGGAATTTTGGGAATCCAAAAGGCCTCTCTTCAGTCCAAATTGGTGGTATTTCTACCAATATAAGTCTTTGGAAAACTTTGTGGATCTCTTGCAAATCTTACTGGGGTCTGCTACATTAGACAAAAAGTATACTCATAAATTTCACTGAGAGAAAACTTTCGAACCTTAAACTTCTGCTAAGGAACACACCATTAAGATTCTTCAAAGCCCTATTACTTTGATTGAAAGGTTCCCTACTACCTTAGATCTTTCTGAGGTCTTAACAAAAGAATTTAAAGTCACACCCTAGGTTTTATCCTTACACAATGCTTTTCTGAGATGACACTGGATCTTCGCATGGAAGCCATTTTTTTATTTTAGCAATATGACATACTGAGAAACAGCATTTTCAAAACCAACAAATCCTGGCTTCTTTTTGTTTAGGAGCTCTTCCTTAGCTTATTTCTCTCCTCTCCCATTTACCACCGTAAGAAGAAACCAGGCAAACAGCTTCATCCTTTTGCTTGAAAATCTCCTTAGTTGAGTCACTCAGTTCATTAGGTACATTTTCTGCTTCTCATTTTACTACATGTGACATTGTTGCTAAACTTTCTGCCACTGTACAACAAGGATTCCTCTTCTTCCATTTTTCAATATGGTTTTCTTCACTTTCATTTAAGCAACTCACTGATAGTCTGCCCAAAGGTTTTTAAGTTTCTAGTAACAGTCTCTTCAGGACTTCACTAAAGTTCTCCTCAAAGACCTTCCAGCTTCCTTTTACTGTCCAAGTACAAAGTCACTCCTACATTGAAAAGTATTTTTTATGGCAGCACACTATTTGTGGGTACTGAAATAATCTGCATTGGTAACAAATTATTCTCAAACTCAGTGGCTTAAAATAATAAATACTTATTATTTCACAGTTTCTGTGTGACAGGAGCTCAAGAATAGCTTAACTGGGTGGCTCTGGCTTAAGGTCCTTCACAAGGATGTAGTCAAGACATAATAAGCCATGGGTGCAGTCATCTGAAGACTTGTCTGGAACTAAATGACCTGTTTTCAAGGTAGTTGATTGATATTGCTATTGTCTGAAGGTTTCAGCATCTCACCAACTGGACATCTAAATAAGGATTTCTTGAGTGTCCTTGAACAATTATGTCCTGTAGCAGTTTTTAAAATATACATTATATACAGAAATTAGATGAAACTAGATCAGAAGAGTATTAAAACAACCATTAAGTAAGGAACATCGAGCTAATATGTGAATACTCTATTTTCAAATACTGAATTTTAACCAAATTTACTTTAAACATGAGTTATTCCAAAACATTCACCCATTTCCAATCCCACATCTTGACTGACACCAGAACAAGATGGAACACTTGAAAACAATAAAAAAATATTTATTTTTGCACTGTATTACATATTTCTGATATCTAATTAACTGCATAGTATTTCTAAAATAATAATTAACCAGCAGCAAAAGAAAACATCTAATAACTCTCAAATACACAATACAAGATGGGTAATTAGAATATGCCATTGAAAAAATACAAGTAAAACATTTAAAATTATAAAACTGAAAAATATTTAAGGACATAGAAAATATCACTATGCTATTTAGGTTAAAAAAAAAAAAAGATAGCGGACTCTGATATAATGATACCAAAGGCCATACTTTAAAATATGGGAGACAGGCACAGAGGCTCATGCCTATAATCCCAGTACTTTGTGAGGCTGAGGTGAGAGGATTGCCTAAATCCACGGGTTCTAGACCAGCCTGGGCAACTTGCCAAGACCTCATCTCTAGAATAAATCAAAAAATTAGCCAGGCATAGTGGCACATGCCTACAGTTCCAGTTACTTGAAAGGCTGAGGTGGAAGCATCACCTGAGCCCAGCAAAGCTGTGGTGGCCGTAAGCATGCCTCTACACTCCAGCCTGGGAGATAGAATGAGATTCCAACTCCAAAAAAAAAAAGTATGAAAATTATGTATGGTAGCACATTTAAGTTTTTTCCTTTAAATTTTGCTATATATTTCAAATGTTCTAAAATAACCATATTTATATTTTGATTTTTAAAGTATTAAAATTAGCAACTATGTACATAAAACATTTTGCTGTTTCTTTAGGTCATGGCTATTTTTTAAATAATCTGAATACAAATATATTAATCTAACATACGGATACAAATTTGGGTTCTTTCACTTTTATCACAAAAGTACTAATATTTATCACAACAAACTTGAAAAATACAGAAAAGTATTAAAAAAAAGTCATGGAGCTCAGATTCCCATAATCCAAAGGCAACCAACAACAATATTTTGCTAAGTAATAAGGATAACATAAATTTTTGTGATTTTATTAACACATTCCAAGCAAATTTGTAAACAATATAATTTTTAATGGTTGCAGGACATATATACTTTAAATATTCAATCATTCCCATTATCCTATTGTTAGCTATTAAGATAGTTTCTTATTTGTTACTATCAAATAACATTTAAATATATGTATATAAATCAAAATCTGTATATAAAAATTTTGTGCATCTCCATTTTCTTGGAATACGATTACAGGTGTGAACATCACACCTGGCTCAGATGTGACTAACATTTAAATTAGTGGACACTGAGTAAAGGAGAGTCCCCTCCATAACATGGGTGACCATATCCAAGCAGTTGAAGGTTAAAAGAGAAAAGACCAAGGTATTCCCAAGAGAACAGAATCCTGTCTGGAGACTGACTTTCAGCTCAAGACTGCAACAGCAACTCATGCCAATTTCCAGCAAGCCTGCCTACCCTACCAACCCCACAATCTTGTGGGCTGATACTTTTAAATACAAACAGAAACTTCCCATCTATATACAAGTTGAGTAATCCCTTATCCCAAATGCTTGGGACCAGAACTGTTCTGAATTTCAGGATAAATATACATATGTAAATAAAATATCTTAAGGATGGTACCCAAGTTCAAAGGTGAAATTCATCTATGTTTTATATATAACTTACACACATTGGCAGAAGATAATTCTATACCATCTTTTTAACAATTCTGTGCATGAAATAAAGTTTCAACTGTGTTTCTACTGCAACTTGTCACATGAGGTCTAGGGCAGAATTATCCACTTGTGGCATCAGGTAAGCACTTGAAGAGTTTCAGATACTGGAGCATTTAGGATTTCAAATTTTCAGATTAGGGATGCTCAACCTCTGTTGGTTCCTTTCTCCAAAGAATCCTGACAGTGTCTTAGAAATTTTCTTAATTATTTACAAGTTTACTTATTAAAGATAGCGATTTCTTCCACAATGTTTATGTTGAGAAATTCCTTTCAAGCCACTACTTACTTGTAAGTCATCTGCCCCTTCAACTTCATTTTTTGATTCAGGGCATCCTAAGAAAACAGATGAAAGTCAATTAGGTGTAGAATTTTTGTTTATATTTCAGTATTAACGGATCACTGACTATGACACTATATAGTTATATACGGTAACACTTTAGAAAACTGATCATTCTGGACTGCCTGGCAATCAGTCAGATATTGGCCACTTATATTCACTCCTTTGTTAGAATAAAATAATAAAATAATCCTTTCCCTCTTATACAGTTTCCAGCTCCTTACTAAAGAGATGGTTTCTCTGAAAGTATACTATCTCCAGCAAGCTTTATCCCTGATTTCTCCCAAATATTCAAACTGCTAAGCAGATTATTGGTAATGCTAACAAGTGATTTATTCAATTTTTCTAAATGCTGATTCAGAAAACAGTATTTAGTACACGTAACCAGGATTTTAGTTACTTTAGTTAAGAAAGAAAACAAGTGAATCTTACTCCATTATTGATAATTAACGGACAATTGTTGCTACTGACATTTGTGCATCAATGTCTCTGGGTTTTCATGGTGTCTAAGAATGCCTTCAGTTCCAATAAATTAAGAAGAGAGGATTTGTCATAGCAAAATATTCTGAGTTTATGCTATCCTTGAGAGACACAGCTCAGCATGTCCTTTGGAAAGAGTAGCATAACTTACTCTTATTTTCATGGAAATCAAAGTAAAATAAATGTAATGAGATAACTGAAAGTATACATAGCAGCTGATAATAATGCTAACCAGTATGTTTTTAAAAATAAAAAATAACAAGACAGGCAGAATGCTGAAGTCTATTTTAGCTAAGAGTTAATTAACTCCCCCTTATAACTAGCTTTTTAAAACATTAAACCCAATCTATTTAATCCGAGTGAAAGAAGTATATTGTTATGGTATACGGGCATAGGCTTAAAAATAATTCAAAGCTTTAAAATAAATCATATAAATTCCAGCCACCATGAATAATGATTTTATCTTTAAATCACTGTTTCTTCAAACATGGCTAAGGATTAGAATCAACTGCGGAACTGTTAAAAAAATATACTGATGCCAGAGTATAGCCCCAAACCAAAAAATGTCAGAATCTCTGTGCGGTAAGGCATAGGACATTATTATTTTTTATGAAGTTTCCTGATTTTTTTTCAAATTCAAATTATAATTATTTGACTAGAACAACAATTCTTGACCCCATCTGAAAAATAAGGGATGACCCAGCTCCACTCCCCAGGCAGATTCAATTGTTCTGAAGTGGGGACCAGTCATTCTAATCTTCGAAAACACTGATCTAAGAAGTTGTGGGTTCTTATAATAAAGGTAAAATGATTACTATCACTTTGTGGTAATTTTTTCTGGGTTAGAAATAAAAAATTGCTTGTTTACCAAATTCTAATCTTTTAAAGTAGCCAAATAAATCATTTAACCATAGTTTCATGCACCATCAACACATTTATTCTATGCATTTCAGTGTTCTTGCCTGTCATTGTTCTCATAGTGAGTTTATTTCTTCAAATTTTCCTATTAAAATGACATTTCAAAAGACATAAATTACAACATAATCTAGCACATTTAGATTCACATACAATATTATTAATATATAATAAATATATAATATTATCTAATAAAATTATTAATATATAATATAATAAAGATAATTTTCCTTCTTAATTAGGAAAAAATCCAGCAATACTTATTTCCTCTTTTAATGTGATTTTTGTTTTTTTTTTTAAACATTTTTTATTTTAAAATTGTGGGGTACAGTTAAGGGTTAGGTATACAAACATGCATTGTTCAGGCACCCTTGTTGATAAGGGGTGTCCCCCTGTCCCCAGACAGATATTGACTACTGTTAATCCCACTTTCCTTCCCCTCCCTGTCTCCCCCGTAGTTTCCCACCACTTTCAATCCTTTTCTTATAGTAGTGATTTTTGGTTAAGTAAGCTTAAGTCAGTCTTATATCAAAAACATTCTTCTTCCATTCAAATAGATTGGTGAGATACACAAAGGAATAGATGGAGTTGTGGTCTCTGCCAATCCTCAATAATGAAATCTATCAAGTAAACAGTTTTGTCATAGAATAACTAGTCTACATATATTTGAATTTTACAAGTTTTCCCTTTACCTAATGACCAAAAAAGAGTTTGGTATAATAATACACATACAAGTAGAATACCTAACTGGGATTTTGACATCTCTATCTTACTACTGTCCCCTCCCTCATCAAGCTCTTATTTTAAAACATTTCAATTACTAAAGGCTGTTATTGATTGGCTCTTCATGATACTACATGAAATGCTATACACCTTTATGTGACAAATATATTCAGGCTAATGAGCCTATGAGTTTATCTTCACTTATTGTGAGCTTTCAAAGCTTGGTCACGGTCACACAACACAAAAGCTGAATTGCTTAAAGCACAATAACTACTTAGGGATAATGTTAACAAAGATAACCTCTACTGTATCTAACTGGTAAACAAATTAAGAAAACAGTTAAGAATACCTACCTTGAGAAATATCCTCTATAGCTCTTCGAATGCCTCTATCAAAAGCCCTCGCATCAGCAGGACTTTGAAAAGTAAGGCCAAACTTCTTGTCATCGATCTTCCAGTGGTGAAATGTTGGAGTGACCTTATTATAAATGAGGTCTTTTTTAAGCATACATTCCAAAACCACCTGCAAAAAGTCAAATTCCAAAAATTAATATACATACATCAAATGTATTTAATATAGTTCTTACATACAAACTGAAGTAAGAAAAGGCTATTACTTTTTAATAAATAAATTGATAATTTTAATAAATAAGGTAATTTTAACAAATATTTTTAAGTGGATAAATTAACAAAGAGATCCTGTTACTTAATCTACTTCACAAAGTTACTCAATAAAGAGAGTTAAATTAGACAAAAAGATCATTCATGCTGTAAACAGAATGTTTATTATACCCCCATCTTAAATAATATACACATACACATTCCCACTGTATACAAAATTTCCGGAAGAATATACCAGGAATTACTTCTGGGAAAGAGGCAAGGGGGTGTTGTAAAAGAAATTTAACCTTTTAAAGTCACTTTCTTAAATTTCTTAAAAGATTTATTAATATTTCATTTGAGAATTTAGTGGTCATAGTAGCAAATAAAATACTCGCTTTTGCCACTTTCTGAGTACATATTTAAGCAGGTTATCTAACCTTTCAAAGTCCTATTCTCAACTGTAACACAGGAATAGCAATATTAAATATCTCATAGCTTGCATGGAATGACTGAATGTGTATTCAAGCAAACGGCTTCATGTAATGTATGGAACAATACTTCTTTGCTTTTTCTTCATTTTTTATTTTGAAATTATTTCAGCTATATATAGAAGCAACAAGAAAAATACAGAAAACTCCTGTCTCCCCTTCATCCAGATTTGTCACACTAATTTTAACATTTTTTCTGTATATGTCTGTGTACATTTATTTTATTCTGTAAAGTAAAATATATGTAAAGGAGGTTACATATATTGTTTCGTTGCTCTTTAATATGTAATTGAGTGTGCTTCCTAAGAGCATTTCTGTTCTCTTATGTAATCACAGTACAGTGATCTAATTAAGGAAATTTAAAACCAACAAAACCCTTTTATCTAATCCACAGTCCATATTCCACTGTTGTCTGATATAATGCCTTTTACTGCATTGAAAAAATCCTTCCAGTTCAGGATCCATTCCAGGATCACATATTGCTTTTGGTCATAATGTCTTCTCAGTCTTTCTTAATCTTAAACAATCCTGGGCCTTTGTTTTTCATAACATTCATAGCATACTTTTAATAAATGTTAGTTGTCATTATCACTATATAAAACAAAAGTGGATCTATTTATTAGTGATGCTTGGATAAATCTAATTAATCAAAAACTAAAATTGCAGCCTTAATTATTTTAGGAATACCCTGTAAGCAGGAGAAAAACAATTTTTAAAAATTCAATTAAATCCAGACTTTATTATCCTACTTCATTCCTTCATAGTACCTTACTGATAATGATCTCAAATTATTTTGTTTCCTGTTTATCCCTGCTGCTAGAACATAAATACTACAAGAGTAGGTAGGGATTTGAACTTGCTCTCTGACCCATAATAGTATGTGACACAAAACAAATGCTCAATAAGCACTTGGTGAAAGAGTATCTCCATTCTATTACAATCATCATAACTTGCATGTCTCTTCCATGTATCTCATAAACCCCCTCAGATAATTTCATTGCTCTGCAGGTGGAGCAGAACTTCCTTGCTTCAACATCTTCAAGGTCTTCTCAATGCTTTCAAGATCAAATTTCTTACTAGGCCCTTCCTGATCTGGTCTTCATTTATGTGTGTACCACTCTCCTTTCCTTTCGTACTCTCCCCTGACTCCCCACACTCAAATGATACCAACTTTCTTTCACACCTTTCAGTGCCCTCTTCCCAAAACCCCTATCTTCATCTTTACTTTATTAATTCTTCCCACTTTTCTTTAAAATCTTAACTCATACACAACTTCCTAAGGAAAGCTTTCTTGATCCCTAAACTGGATAAGGTCTCGGATACATGTTATTAAGCATATTTGAAATTTTCAAATTTCAAATTTTGAAATTTGAGTGATTATTTGATTAACGCCTGTCTCCTCCATTAGTCTATAAGATGCACGAGGTTAGGGACTGCTACATTTAACCATCACTGTATGCTGATGCTTAAACTACAGTGGCAGACATACATTAGATACTCAACAAATATTTCTCCTCAGAACAAATGAACACATGTGCAAAGTTTTTGTATAAATTTTCAGACTTTATGAACTCCCCTGGATTAAAAATCCCTGACTTAAACTTCAGGAGTGATTTAGTTTCAACACAAGCACAGGTGTGCTAAAGCTGCCAAAAGCCAGATGCCAAATTTTCAGTAATTTTGCAGGCCATTATTAAAAGTTAAGTTACAGAACTTCACAATGAAGTAAATTACATTAAAAGCAAAGTAATAAATACTCAAAACTCATCAATTCTTAATTATTTTACCACACTTTACAATTCCTTTTTTTTTTTTTTTTTTGAGTTAGAATCTTACTCTGTTGCCCAGGCTAGAGTGCATTGGCATGCTCATGGCCACTGTGGTCTCGACCTGTTGAGCTCAGGTGATCCTTCCACCTCAACTTTCCAAGTACCTGGAACTATAGGTGTGTGCTACCACGCCTGGCTTATTTTTTGATTTATTGTAGAGATGAGATCTCGTCAAGTTGCCCTGGCTGGTCTCGAACCCCTGAGTTTAGGCAATCCTCTTGCCTCAGCCTCCCAAAGTGCTGGGATTACAAGCTTGAGCCATCATGCCCAGCAACAATTACCTAAGTTTTTTAGGTAGTTTATGGAACTACTATATAATGCTGTACTACTGCCAACTTCTTCCCATATGCAATGATATCACTCATGTCGACTGAAAGCCATCACGGTGGGAGTACGCAAATACTATAAATTACTGCCTTTTGTCCACTCTAGAAAGCTGTGTTAAAGTTTTACCTGCATAACACTGAATATAATAATTCTTGGAAGTAATCATATTAATTCAGGAATAATCAAAAAGGTGACTAAGATTTGATCCTGCCTGTTTATAGACAATATAATAAAACTGTCTCAGGAATTTTGCTTCCTATACTTGGATGACTCTACATATATTCGAAAATAATGAACATATATTCATGGCTTTTTTTTTTTTTTAGTTGGAGTCTCGCTCTGTCGCCCAGGCTGGAGTGCAGTGGCACACTCACGGCCACCCCAGCGTCGACCCGCTGGGCTCCGACAATCCTTTTGCCTCAGTCTTCCAAGTAGCCAGAACTACAGGCCTGTGATACCATGTCGGAAAATTTTTGATTTATTGTAGAGATGAGGTCTCAACAAGTTGCCCAGGCTGGTCTCGAACCAGCGGGCTCAGGCAATCCACTAAGCTAGGCCTTCCAAAGTGCTGGGATTACAGCTGAGCCACCAAGTCTGGCCTATCCACAGCTTTGATGAGAAAGCATATTCTATGGCATTTTTGCACAGGTTTACTATCTATTATAACAACCATTTCACAACAATAATTCATGATTAAATTAAGTTCTGGAATTCAATAAGTAAATGTTAGTGTTTTAAATTATAATAGTTTTACTGTATTCATAAAAGTAAAATTTTAGAAACCAATGCTAAATTGGAATTGTTAAAAAGGTAAGACATAAAAAAAACTAAGTTTGAATCTAATGTCTACTATATAAGAATATTACTAGCCGGGCTCAGTGGCTCAGCCTGTAATCCCGTGCCTTTGGGAGGCTGAGGTGAGTGGATTGCCTGAGCCCGCGGGTTTGAGACCCGCCTCAGCAGGCGAGACCTCATCTCTACAATAAATTAAAAAAAAAAAAATTAGCCAGGCACGGTAGCGTGTGCCTGTAATTCCGGCTACTCGGAAGGCTGAGGCGGAAGGATCGCCGGAGCCCAGCAGGTCGAGGCTGTGGTGGCCGGGAGCGGCCACTGCACTCCAGTTTGGGAGACACAGTGAGACTCCAACTCAAAAATAAAAAAAAAAAAGAATATTACTAAATTAATTATAATGTAGAAAAGTATTACTGAATTAGCCTTTCGCTTCAATTTTCAAAAAATAATATTTTTCAACTGTTTACTCTCAGTTGCAATAAAGTTTCAACATGATCTACACTAATCTCTACCACTTGCCATCTATTTTTTTAGAGCCTCCCAAAATGAGTTCTAAAAATGAGCTTTAAAATGTACCAAGGAAATAGGAAGGGTATGAACTAGCTCTCTGACTCACACAAATACCTATGCAGGAATATGTTCCACCTATAAGTCACGAAAATGAGTTTAAACATCATATCAATTGGTACAGAAGCATGTCAATTAATTATGAGCTAGATCTCAATTTTTGTTACTTTATCTATAAAATAACAGATAAAATTTAAAAATTTACTGTTGATTTTATATATATATAATATAGCACAAAACTAATTATGCTTTAAGAAAAGACTTCTGTGGCATTATGGATTTAGGAATAGGCAGAGGAATAGAAAAAAGGAAGCTGATCTACTGGGACAATCACCCGATGTCTTTGTAGAGAATTTTTAGGATATGCCTCCTAGAACACTCTATATTACTCAGTATTTATATAATTTTCACAGTCTTCATGTCAAAAGTAAACAATTTCTTATTTATCTAAGTCACATAATATATTAGAAAGTTGTTTTGTTTCTGATTTTAAATAGTATTAAAAAATAGTACTTTCATCATATTAAAGACAATGTATAGCACACCCTGATTAAGTAACAGGGATACCAACTGTCTACCTCAAAATTTAAAAAAATTCAATGGGACTCTAAGTTGTAAAAAAAAAAAAAAAAGTAAAAAGAAGAATGCCTCAAAAGACTTTTATCCATTATGTGATCAATACTAAATCTACATACTGAAAACAAAAAAAGTTTTAAGGTATAGATGGGTTCTTAAGAATTACTGAATTCTGCTGCCTACCTTTCACTGCCATCTTCAACGACATCAGAACAAAGTGCTGACTTTAGTCCATTGAAATTTTCACCATATTAATTCTGTTTCTTAAGATAACCGTAATATTAATATTAATAGAAATATAGGAGGCCTATTTCAATGCTTACCATACTTGTGATTGATAC